GAAGAACCGGGCCGTGTGGCAGCCGGGCCCCGTCTGCCACTCGATGGCGTGGTTGTAGTACTCCGACCTGGTGTGCAGGTCGACTGAGGCGATCAGGAGGAGGTATAGCCCCATGCAGAAATCGGCGAAGGCCAGGTTGCACATCAGGAAGCGGGGCACGGTCAGCTTGTAGTGGCTGGTGAGAAGGATGAAGAGGACGAACATGTTACCTAGGATGGCCAGCAGGTTCACAAACCACACCGCAATCCTCAGAAACTGATAGCCCATTATATCCTCACAGGGATTGAACTCGTCAGGCTCCGGAGTGCATATTACATCCTCGCTGCCTCCACAGACAGGGTAGTCGTAGTGACTCTCAAAGGGCTGGACATCTTCCATTTGAGGGTTCTTGAGCTCTTGGCCAAACCCAAGATTTCCTTCTCCGTTCTCTTCAAAGAACATGTAATAATAGGAATTTTCATGAAAATTTGTGAAGCTGGTATTCTTGCCGTACACAGTGTTGGTGTGGTCTGTGTTTTCTTCTGAATATTCCTGGTAAAATGGGCCTCTGGGAGCTCTGAGTGATCTTCTCTTACGAACGCTGTGACTGCTGCTCTTGTTGCATATCAGGTACTCTAGGATGCTTAAAGAGTAGAGGGAGAAATCACCAGTGGCATTTACAGTGTGACTGGAATACAGCAACTAAACAAAAGGAACACTTGAAAAACAAATCACTGTGAATGAAAATGTAGCTGTAAAACTGTGATCGTTCTGTTAAAGCAACGTCTAATGAACAATAAGCCTGAGCATTTCTGGGCTCTTTTTAAAGCTGTATTTTTCCTTTCTTCTGTCGCTGTCTGGTATCCCCAGCAGTAATTTGGCTTGTTCAGCATCCATAATCCCTCCTCCTTCTTGGGATCTCCATTCTTAGTAGGTATCAAGAATTATATCTACTGTTTATAATTTCTTAGATAATACACACAGTATTACTTCCCATTTTGTTTTTGCTTACAAATGAATTTCTCCCAGAACTTCCATTTTAATTTTTGCTCTGTGTATTTTCTGTAGGTACCGTACAGCTAACTAGCAGTGCAGTGGTTGGGAGTCCTGTACCTTGTGGTGTCAGGCACCTGTATTTGTAGCCAAAAGTCGTTCATATTTTTTATTAGGAAAAAAACCTGCAATTTGATATAAAATTTTTTGATCACTGTCCCATAACTTTTAGTGTTTCTCATTTTCAGGTGTGTAGAATTTGAGATTACCTAGTTTGACACTGCATACAGCTTAGTCTGGTGAATTTTCTTCTCTACAATAGACATGCAAATGCTTGTTTCCTTCAGCCATTAAATTGTGCTGGGTTCTTTCTGCACATTCTTCCCGTCCAGGGTTTTGAATCCCTTCACTCCTCTGTTTTATTTCTGTCCTCACTTTCCCAGTCTGTTTTAATTGTGAATGTTACTGCTTTGTGAGTTTATTATTGAATAATTCATATACTTATCATAGCATATTTTTAATATATTATGCATTGTAACCACAAATTCTGCAATAATGAAGACTGGGGCTGTCTTCCTAAATCGGGGACTGGCCTGGATAAAAATTCTCTTAACTTCAGTAAACTCTGGAGAAATTTACAATGGATTTGTAATTCTGCAGTAAAATCCTGCTGCTAGTGACAGTAAGTCATCTGTCCTCCCTCCCTCCCTCAGCAGATGAGTCGCTGTGTTGCATGAGGACATCTATAAATGTGTTTGTTTGGGTTTTTTTCTTTCCAAAAGTTTTCTGCACCTGTTTTGATGGGGGGCTTGAAATCCTGCTTAAATGGAACTTGAAGTAATCTGTCTACAAGGCATTTATTCTGAGCTTTTCAGGTAGAAAACATAGGAGACATAAGGCTATAACCCCTGCAGACTTCTTTTTCCAGGCCTTGCTACAGCACATTCTGTGTTACAGCACATTGCCCTTTCCTTTTTTTCCCCCTTTAATTCTGGGCTCAACAAAAGGAGGAACTGTTGCAAAAGGTCCTACAAATTGTTATATCAAAAGTTCTTTCTTCTCTCAGTTTGAAATTCTAATCTCTATTTCAAAGAATGTTTTCTTTACTTAGAAAAAAAATGGTCACAAAGGCACCAGTAGATGTAATTTTGTATTAATACTAAAACATTATCTTCATATACATATTTTAAAATTGAATGTAAATCAGTGAAACTCACTCGCTGTTTTTTTTCCAGCTTTTGAAAGCACAGCAGTGACTTGGATATGACAGGTCAGCTCGCATTAGCTGAACAAATATCTTTACAGCTGGTAATTTCTTTAAAGTCCATGTATTTTTGGCCATTAGTTCTTTAAGGTTTTCCAGTCCATTGGCTGGAAGGTTAGCAACGGCTGTTCTGGAGACATCCCTAGGTAAAGGAAGAAAACAGACAAATGTCAGAATATCCAATGGCTGGATCAGAATTTTTCTTCAGATTCTCACAGTAGTTTAGGAGTTTCATAGAATTCTTCAGGAAAAAAATCAAATCCAGGTGACATGGTGATTTCATATCACTTAGGTTCTGACATCATTCACATTAAAGTAGGATATTAATTCTTCCTTTGATTTTTCTCTGTGTTTTAAAGCTCTTGTCTTTAATGTCTCATAGTGAAGGATATCAATGAGAAGTTAATAAGAAATAGCGGTACTTTAAAAACTACATCTTTAAAGCCAAACAGATACAAATGCATATGCAAAACCAAAGGTTTAAAATTTCTTTAAAGAAATCACATCATGAGCTATTTTCCTTTAGACCTCTTTAGACTCATTTTAACCTATTTGGATATTTAAATATTGCAATTATTTGAAACAATGTTCTTCATAAACTGAAATTAAAATCTTCTCACTCCATCTCCAACTCAGAATATTTAGTATTATATTTGCTGCCTTCTATTTCTCTGCTGTTGAGTCCACCTCACCAGATACTTAGCACAGTTCATGGGGGAGGTGGAGATTTCCTTTAGAACTGCCAAGTGAATGTCATCTAGTCCTCCTAGTGTTTTATACTCATTTTTTGCTTTGTCCCAAAGCCTATTCTACTGACACTTGAAGTCAAGATGTTTTCTCAGAGTTATACTCTGTAAAGAAGTAAATATGTAAAAAAGGTTCTGGTGTGGGAACATGATTTGAGCACTTTCATCGTGAACACCCTGATAATAAACAATTCAGCTTTTCCCTATGCATCCATTCCTGAGAGTGTTGTTCTTATCCCTCTACGAGTCTCACCCACTCACAGGTTTCTTAAGCCTAAAAGAAAATTATTACTAATTTTATGCTTTAAACAAATTGCTTCTACAACACTTGGGTTTGCTCTGCTTTTTTTTTTTTTTCCTTTTGATTTGCTTGTGTTTGTTTTTTAGTTAGAAATTATCTCTCCTTTCTGTAGGAGGGTCTAGGAGGGCTTTTTTTACTTCTAATAACTTCTTTGCTATCATACATACTTGAATATGTCACAACTAATTGATTTCAATCACGTAAACTTATTTTTTGTTCTTCTGGAGTCCTTTTTGATAGATAGGATATGTTTCTACCAAGCCCCTGAATTAGAAGAGTCTGAATGCTGCCTGCTATCTTTTTTGTCTTTTAAAGAATCAGAATAATTGAGCTTCCAGATCGATCCTGCTCAAAGCAGGGTAACCTGGAGCAGGTTCCTCAGAGCTGTGTCCTGTTGACTGGCCAGTATCTCCAGGACTGGGGAGTCTACAACCTCTTTAGGCAACAAGTTCCAGCATTTGACCGTCCTCACAGTAAAGAAGTTTTTTATGTTGAAATGGATTTTCCTGTATTTCAGTTTGTGCCTGTTACCTCTTGTCCTGTCACTGGACACCACTGAGGAGACCATGGCTTCCTCTTTCTAGTTCCTGCACCCCGCCTCTTTCAAGTATTTATGCCTATTGATAAGATTTCCTTAACTCTTGTACAGACTGAACGTTTCCAACTTTCTCAGCCTATCATGCTATGACAGATGCTCCAGTCTCTCAGTCAATTTAGGGCCTTGCTCTTTTTTTGTTTTCCACTAATTTCCTCATTTTATAGAGTGCTCCCTCTGAGGCAAAACATCTTGGTAAACTAGGTCTTGGACTAGATCTTACCAAGACCAGGCTGGCCCTTCAGCAACCCCCATGGGTCTCCATCAAGTCCTCATGGAGGTGGCAGCTACCTGCAGGAAGGGAACATGGTTAAATGCTGTGTAGGGAGAGCTGCTAAGACTTTTTGGGAAGCGAAATGACACCTCACAAACTCTTGGGAGTTCTTTGAAGATGTTCTAGCACAAACATAGGGAGAAAGATGATCCTGTTTGTACCATGAGTTGGTATTTCTGAAAAGCCCTTATAAAATTTGATATCAAGAGCTGTTGAGGTAACTGTGACAAGGGGAATGGCTCTTCTGGATTAATTAAAATAATGAAAGAGTAGAGGGAAGGCCTGGGAAAAATGATAAGTTTTTATGCTGGAGGAAGAATGGAAAATGAACTGGTGAATATACATCACATCATTGCAGCAGAGGCCCACAGAGGCTAGGCTAGTGCTGGTGGTACTGAAATAGCCATAAACACTCTGGAAAGAAAATGAGAGTAGCTGCAGCAGAGCTTGTTTCTGGCACAAAGTAATACCAGGTACTGAAAGCTAAAGCTAATTGTCTAAAGATGCAGCAGGATCCTGCAATACTAAGTGGCTGAGCAGTGAAATAACTGACATGATTCAATATTGATGAATGTAAAGTGCGTTTAGGAAAAAGCAATCTGAACTGTACATGAATGACAATGGGGTTTGATTTGCCTAGCACTCTGGAAAGACCTTGTAGCCCATTCTGCAAAAGTCAAGTCAGTGCTATTTAGTAATGTTGAAGGGAAATAGAATACTAAGAATTTTTAGGAAAGAAATAGAAAATAGAACAGAAAAACTTCGCTTTGTAAATCGAACAAGACTGCATCTTAAATATGCAGTTCTAGAAGTATATGTAATACATGTAAAGGTATATGTAGTTTAAATAAGTTTAAAATAAGAGCAGAGGAAGCTACAGCAAGGATGGTTAAAAGTATCAGATTGTTTATAAATTAAGTAATAAGGAGTAGATAAGGACTTCTCTTGGGAAAAGCTAGGACTGGAAGCAGTAGGAGACTACAGGTGCCATGCATATTATAAAGAAGGTGATTAGGAATGGTTGTTCAGTCTTGTGAGATGAGTTTTGAGGCACCTGAGAATGTGAGGCAGGAGACTTAAAAATGTCAAAAGGTATGATCTTGTCACAAAATTGCATCATTAAATGGTGAAAATCAGTGCCATGGTTCATTGTGCAGACCAAATAACAAGGTAACAAGAATGACAACATCCCTTGTGGTTTGGTTTTATTCACAGTTGTGTCATGTTCCCATCAGAAATTACTGGGTCAGGAGGAGCATTTTTGAGAACAAAGGCTCGTGCCTTGGAAAGAGCTACAGAGAGCCTCGCTGGGGCCCTGTGGAGGCAGCTGCAGCTCCCGGAGAGCTGCGAGCAGAAGGGAGCAGCCAACCCTGGGCTCCAGCGGTGGAAACAGTTTCCCAGGGAGCAGAGGGGAAACGTGCAAAGTCTGTGTCACTCAAAGAATGTTATCAAGTGATATTGAAAAGTCTGAAAGAAAGATCAGTGAGAAGAAAGGGCTTGGAAGAATTAGTTATAAGACAATGTAATTTCTGTCCTGTCTTACAGAATACTTTGAAGTGTCAGAATTTACAGAATCCTTATGTGTGTAGAAGGGTATTGCAGATATTGCAGGTTTTATTTTCAAAGACTCTGCTTGTTCTAAACTGTTGGGCTTGGGGAGAAGATACAGGCAGAGCTGCCTTGAAGTTCTAGTTGATTTAGGATTAATCCTGTTGCAGGGCTAACATTGGTTATATCCAGGGGCCATTTTAAGCACAATGGCTCAGAAGTTGGAAGCTTCCAAAATCACCAGTTTGGGAAGTTCTTAAACTGCTGGTATGGTACCTGTCACTAAGAGGTCTTGTGACTTCTCTGTACACCTGATATTGCAGGTGGAAAAGCCTTCTGAGAGTATGGTGATAATTGGTCTCCCAGCAGAATGTACCTTCTTTGTTGCCCTACCTAGGCTCACACTTTGTTAGCAACAAAGTGTGCATCAGCTGGCCAGAGGAACATGTGGGATTGACCAGGATTTCTTTTACCTTACAGGTCCAGTCTTGACAGTTATCTATTCAGATTCACAATCTGCTTCAAGCATCATAGTAGTTTTCTTCAAATGAACAAGCATAGGATTAAAAAGGTTTTAAATACTAATTACTAATCTTCAGAGCAATGTGCATCCAAGTAGCTGGAGTTTGCCAGACTGTAGTACTTGTGTCTTCATTCATACAGAAGATACTTTTTCCTAGTATCTTTATTCTGTGTCACTGTACCATCAGTCTTGATTTTGAGCTGCTCAGAAAAATGGTAAACGACTGCAGTTATGCCAGCCTCATTAATATTAATAATACTGATAACTAAGAGGTTGTTTAAACACAGCAATGTTTGCATTGCACAGATGTGTCTTGCTACTACTGCTACTGAGTTATAGCTGGTGCACTTAAACACGAGAGAATGGGCAAGAGGTCTGATAGACCTGTCAAGAGGATTTGTCTCAAATTGAAGTAAATATAAAAGAGGTGAGGCAGGAAACTGATAAAGTGAATGGTAATGAGCCACAAGGACTGGATGGTTTTCACCAAAAAAGTTCTGAAGCAGCTCAAGGAGGAAGTAGTTGAACTGGTAAAGGAGTTGTGTAACCTCTAATTTAGCTCCCACAGGAGGGCAGCAGATGAGCCACTCATGAGTGTGATACACCTGGGGGAAGTCAGCATGTGAAGGGCTTTTGTAAAAACAAATTCTGCTTTACAGACCTGTCTGAGTGTTATGATTAAGATCTGCACAAGAGTCTCCTTGGACTTTCACAAGGCCTTTGACAAACACTCACAAAGGCTGATACAGAAACCAGGTAGCCACTCTCCTTGTGGGAAATATCAAATGTTTGGGATTACGGTCAAGTGCTAGCAAAATTGACTTCTAGCCTGGATCCAGACCAGACTTCAGCATTTAGGTAGCTGTGGTCTAGGGCTCCCTCAAGCACTGGAAGCGCTCCGTCCACAGCAGCGGGGAGCTCTGCGCTGTGGAGTGTAACAGTGACCAAAGGGCACTCAGCTGCTCTTAACACTGTGCCTTGTTAGCTCTTCTGGTGTTTCCTCACATGCTCTCTTACAAATCTCACGTCATGTTTCTAGGCTGTTGCCTACTTTACATCAAATGTACACGTTAGACTGAATGTTTCAGAGACATCAGAGAGCTCCAGACGAGTGTGGCAATAAAGCACAGCTTATAATTTAAGAGACGTTGTTTT